ACATTCTTCTTCTCTTCTCTTATTCTCTTTCTCCTTCTCCTTCTCCTTATCTTTGTTTGCAACAGCTTCCAAATACCCCTCAGGGTACTATGGAGAGGGAAAAAAGACTCTAAAATAACAGACGCAAACATACCACTCTCATTGGTACTACCTCTCAAATTAACTTAAATCAAAATGATCTAAAGACAATTTGGAAAGATGTTCACGTTTCCAGTCTCCTGCCCCTCCTCCTCTGGAAAACAAGTCAGGAACAGACTACAGAAAATGAGAAACATCAAGCTTTCTGGTTTCCTATTTCATAACTTTACAAAGCTTTGTAAAGTTAACTTTTAAGACAGTCCCTTACCATGCTGCAAGAAAGGAGGCTGGAACACTTACGCTAATTTATTCAAAGGCCTACCTTCTATTAGGCATCCCTGGACTAGAAGGATCCATAAAAAAGCTGACAAGGTTAGTTTCATGGTGAATCTCTGAGTAACGAATTCTATACCCCAACATACAAATGTTAGTGAAAAAAATCTATGTAAACAAATGGAGCAACAAAGCATCATTTTACAATTTACCACTTAAGAACTTCAAGTTTTGTAATTGTACTTAGTAGTTTACATTAAACACATTGCAAGTATTTCAGGTAGCACCTTCCCCTAGAAAACCCAAGACAAAAAATAAAATTGGCCATCATTTGCTTGTAACCTGGGATTCTGTGAACCAGTCTCAAAAGATATCCATAACGTAGCAGCTTGCTGGCTCCCAGAGTTCAGTTTTCCTACTGATAAATACATTGCTGACAAGTGACACTGGGAATCTCAGCTAGAAAAAAAAGCAGTTACACTCCATAAAGTGACTAAAATTTATCCTGTGAGTTTCCATGTTTATTATAATTCAATGTCCACAGATCAAGATTGCTTTACTAAGCAAGAGAACTATACTAAATGTTCAACAAACTCAGACTTCTAGAAAAGAATTTTCTTCTTATTTGTACACCACCAACTGTAAGACTTCATGGGCCAAATTTATCCTGATTTATACCTAACTCCCCCATTGTTCTGTTGCAACTAACAGCAGAATTTGGCCCTGCAATTAGAACTTAACCATTCTGTCAACGTGCTAGGCAGGAAAATCTCAGCTCAACCTACCTTAAACTGTGCTGGTTCTGCAGCAAGAGGACTGAAAATGTAATACAGTTAAGTGAATATGCAGAACTCTCGGAAGGCAAATCAGACTTGTGATTAAGAAGGTGCCAATTCCACGGACCATAACCAGTCACACTATGGCCAGCTCTGGGCAAAACAGGAGGTGGTAGCATCTTTCGATCATGAATAGAAGATATTCAGAGATACATTTGCTAGCAAGTACAAGCAGCAACACTATCCAAAACCAGTGTTCTGTGGAATGTAGAGTTCCAGCAGAACTATATTTTGCCTGTATTTTGGGGTAAACAGTGAATACATTCCACTAACCAAATGTAGTTTTCTGATATGCTAACAGGGTGGTAAACAGGGTGGTAGAGGAAGAATTATATTAATTCTTAAGATCCTCCTTCAAAACACAAAAGAGAATCCCAATTCATCTGCCAAGGTAAAGAGGACAAAATCTCACATAGTCAACTCAAACATACCATTCAGACCTACTCGATAAGAACCATGTACCTGCATTGTTAGGCCAAGTTTTTTCATCCTGTCCTTCCCTTCCTTGGTCCAGGGGGCAGGCTCCTCATCATCCCTCCTAAGTAAGTAACGCCACACTAAAAAACCAGATTTCCCCGTCTCAGGCCAATATTTCACAACCTAAAAAGGAAGAACGTATGGTCCTTAGAAGCTACAGAAACTTATTTCTGCCATAACCAAACATCAATCTTTATAATCCTCTGCC